CGGTGTTTGCCCCCATGCTTCAAAGCAACCCACGCATGCTGACATCGGGGAGCCATCCCCAGGCCATTGTGTCGTCCTCCACCCCCCAGTACCCTTCAGCAGAGCAGCCCACCCCCCAAGCCCTTTATGGTGAGTTCTGCTGGACCCCCTCCCTCCAGGCTGTGCTCCTCAGTCCCCTCCATGTGCTCAGCACTGATTATCTCTCTCCTTCCATCTGTAGCCACTGTTCACCAGTCCTATCCACACCATGCCACGCAGCTCCATGCCCACCAGCCGCAGCCGGCCACCACGCCTACGGGGAGCCAGCCCCAGTCCCAGCATGCGGCCCCCAGTCCTGTCCAGGTGCTTGCCTTGGGGGAGCTGAGTGGTCGGGGCAGGAGTGGGTGGCTGAGGGAGAGCGGTAGAGCTTGGGGTATTTCCCCAGCGGGGTGGATTAGGGGTCAGTGGGTGGAAGGCCTGGTATCAGAGCAGTGAGTGGCGCTTAACCTTCCCCTTCACCTGACAGCACCAGGCAGGGCAGGCCCCACACCTGGGCAGTGGACAGCCACAGCAGAATCTGTACCACCCAGGGGCCCTGACAGGCACGCCTCCTTCTCTGCCACCGGGACCTTCTGCCCAGTCCCCTCAGAGCAGCTTCCCCCAACCAGCTGCTGTGTATGCCATCCATGCCCACCAGCAGCTGCCCCACGGCTTCACCAACATGGCCCATGTTACCCAGGTAAGAACTCCAGGAACCTGCTTTGTCTGGGTCTGTTCTGCCATGAGGACCTGGGACACGAGACTGTCCCATTCCTCAGCCCCTGGTGCCGTGCTGCCTCTACGGCATGCTCCTGACACTAGGATTCTTGGCGCCTTTGTCAGGCTTCTGGGGTGCTCCTAACTACTCTCTGTTTCCTGCAGGCCCATGTCCAAACTGGAATCACAGCAGCCCCGCCCCCTCACCCTGGGGCTCCCCACCCGCCCCAGGTGATGCTGCTGCACCCACCCCAGAGCCATGGGGGACCCCCCCAAGGCGCAGTGCCCCAGAGTGGGGTGCCTGCACTCTCAGCTTCCACACCCTCACCCTACCCCTACATCGGACACCCCCAAGGTGAGCAGCCTGGCCAGGCGCCTGGATTTCCAGGAGGAGCCGATGACAGGATTCGTGAGTTCTCGTTAGCTGGGGGAATTTGGCATGGAAGAGCTGATGGGCTGCAGGTGGGGCAGGATGCACGGGTTCTGGGTGGGGAGTGAGGGGTCTTGGAGGCAGGGCTGTCCCACAGGGCGCCTGCCGACCTGCACCTGTCTGTGAAGTATGTAGGGTGGGCAGAAGCCACAGTCGCCGCCGCCAGGGGCTTGCTCCTGGCTCTGTCCTTTGCTTCCCTCCGTCCTCGCTCAGTTGTGATCCAGCAGCCCCCCTCCCCACTGCCTCCCCAGCTCTCAGTGACCCCGACTGTCTCCTGACTTAGCCGAGGTAAGGTCAGCGCAGCAGACAGGGCCAGGCTGGGGTGTGGGGGGCTGAGCTGGGCACACGAGTAAGGGCTCTGGCTCACTGGGAAACAGTGTTTGATTTGTGCTTCTGACAGCCCCATGAGACACCTTGAGGAGGCCGCTCCTACCCACACTCCCCCCACACCCCACACTGGACGGCATTGGATGAAGGGACAGCTGCTTGGGTTCTAATGCTCCTGCTCTCTTCTCTTTCCCCTCCAACCAGTTCAATCTCATCCCTCCCAGCAGCTCCCCTTCCACCCCCCGGGGAACTGAAGATTGTCCTGGCCGCGACCTGAGACCTCCATGAGTGGAGGGAAGAGTGATCTCTATGTCTCTTCCCCCAGCAGCTCGGACCAGTCCCAGCTCCCCAAACCCCCCCTTTCCCCGGGGGAGCTGGGGAATTCCTGCCAAGCACCTTGAATGGGAGAGGCCTCAAAGTGGGTGGGCCAGGGTCCAGCGGGGGTGGGGGGGGTTCCTGCTCTGCCCCTGCCCATCCCCACCCCATCTTGCCCTCCCATCCTCTTGTCCCCCACTGGAAACGGAAGATCTTTTATTTTCTATTATTTATATGTCAGACTTGGGCCCCCGTTCTTTCTTCCCCATTAACTTGAGTGACCTGCGTGAGAGACAGATGCCCCACAAGGATGGTTGGACAAGGACTTTTACTTTTTATTACATAAAAATATTAAAAAAAAATTAAAAAAATAAAATTTTAAACTAACTTAACCTGCCTAAAGTTTACTTTTTGGAGAATACAGTTAAGATTATGGCCATCAGTCTTAAATGTGGTGTGTTACGGTTCCCAAGGTGGGCCCTTCAGCCTGAGGATGCTGCTGTTCTGGCTCTACTGCTATATAGGTCCCCAACCTCCTAGTGAATTTTCTCACCTCCAGATTGGTCCTCATGAAGTACATCTACTGATTGAAATGCACTTCTGTGTGTTTGGCCACTGGAAATAAAGGTTTGACTGGTGAGTGGTCTTGGGTATGGGTGAGACCTATAAAAAGGAAGTTGCAGTGGGAAAAGGGGGAGGGCTAGGTTGAGGGGCCAGGTGATGGGGAATTGGAGCTAAACTAGGACAAGAACCAAGCATGAGATGTAGAAAAATCAGGCTTCAGAGGTTTGGGGGTTTTTGTTCCAGGCAGCAGTAGGATTTCTTTTTTTGACCTGGCCTTGGTTTTGTCTGTGAAACAGAGATTATTTCACCCTTAGGGAATTGTAAGGACTGGTGCTTAATTGTAGGCAGGGGAATTTTAGCTCTGAGCAAAGCCAGAGAAAATTGGCTGGGACTGGGACAGGAGGAATGAAGATGAGCTATTGGGAAAGAATTCCCAGGATCTGAAACCTGGTGGGCATGGGGTTGGGGAGGGAGGGTAAGTTTTAAGGTCCCAAATTAAAGAGCTCTCTAGGGGATGTCAGTTGGGGTTGTGGGGGCAATGATGGAAGAAGCAGGAAAACCTTTCCTAGAGGGAGAGAGAGTAACAGCAATAGGGCCTCTTGCACACCCCCACTGGGGATCAAGCCCACAACCTGAGCATGTGCCCCAACCAACCAGCAACCTGGGCATATGCCCTGACCAGGAATCAAACTTCGACCCTTGGTTCATAGGTTGAGACAGCCACTAAACCACACTGGCCGGGCAGGCCTGAGGATGTTTGAAGTGCAGGTCTCTAGCACTGTGAGTGATGTAACTGCAGGTGTTAACTAGTAGTGCTTTTTTTTAATATGTATTTTTGACTTGAGAGAGAGTGAGAGAGAAACATCAATGATGAGAATCACTGGCTGCCTCCTGCACGGGGCCTACTAGGGATCGAGCCTGCAACCTGGGCATGTGCCCTTGACTGGAATCGAACCCGGGACCCTTCAGTCCGCAGGCCCACGCTCTATCCACTGAGCCAAACCACCTAGGGCAAGTAGTAGTACTTCTAAAAGAAAAAAAAACAATTTTTTAAAGATTTTGTAGAGAAACATGGATGTGAGAAACATCTGTTGGTTGCCTCCCATACACACCTGAACTGGGGATCGAACCCACAACCTAGGGATGTGCCTGACTGGGAATCAAACTGGCGGCCTTTTGGTGAATGGGACACTTAACAGCCACACCGGCCAGGGCCCTACTAGTCCTTTTGATGTGTTAAGAATTGCAGATTGGCTTTATCTTACCCCTAAGAGCAGAAATCTCAAAGTTGGGAGCTCATACTCCAGCCAGCCAGGAATCCCTCTTAATCCTAAATCCTCCTTCCCTTGAGCCTCTTCTCATGAGTCAAATCAGGTTCTGAGTTTTTCCAAACAGCCCTCAGCCTCCCCTCTCAGGACTCAGTAGGATGGATGTCGGATATACTCATTTATCAGGATCCAAGTGTGAAAGGTGTACCCATTATTCCCTGCTGAATGTTACCTTTTTCTGTTTGTTTCGAGGCAGCATCCTGCTCAGTAGGTTCAATTTTTTTTTTCTTTTTAAAATTGATTTTAGAGAGACATTGATTTGTTGTTCCACTTTGGTATGCATTCACTGGTTGATTCTTTTATGTACCCTGACCAGGGATCAAACACATAACCTTGGTGCATCAAGATGCCACTCTAACCCACTTAACTACCCAGCCAGGGCCTCAATTTTTTAAAAACCTCAGCATTTTATTCCGCTTATTTGATACAGCATTTTTCTCAAACGTTGAAAAGCGAAACCTTCATTCTATACCTTCTCAAGCCTATTTGGAATTGGTGACCACAGTAATAACCCATCAAGCACAGACTATATGGGTGCTGGTTCCAGAGGTAAGATACATATCAGAGCTTAAACAAGGAGAGCTAGACATTAATGCCAGTGCCTACACAAGGAGGAAATGAGCTGAGCCCATGCTGGCTCCAAGTGATAAATCCTTTCCCACTGTCTCCCAAAAACATCCGCTAATAGTCTACTGTAGCATACAAAGCTCACAAGACTAGCTTTCAGCCCTCTGGCTTCTCTCCAGTTGCCACAGCAAAGAGGAGCTTCCATTGAGATGAACTAAGGCTAGAGAGAGAACTCAGTAAAAATAGCCGGCTCCAGGGCACCTCCTGGGCTTGTGGCTCCCTCACTTTTTTTTTAATATATTTTATTGAGTTTTACAGAGAGGAAGGGAGAGGGATAGAGAGTTAGAAACGTCGATCAGCTGCCTCCTGCACACCCCCTCTGGGGATGTGCCCACAACCAAGGGACATGCCCTTGACCAGAATCGAACCTGGGACCCTTCAGTTCGCAGGCTGACGCTCTATCCACTGAGCCAAAGCGGTTAGGGCGGCTCCCCCACTTTTAAAAAGATGTTTTTATTGATTTCAGAAGAGAGGGAGAGGAACATCAATGATGAGAGAAAATCATTGATAGGCTGCCTCCTTCATGTCTCCCCACTGGGATCAAGCCCAGGTATATGCCCTGACCAGGAAGGGAACCATGACCTGGTTCATTGAACCATGCCAGCCTGGCTCTGGCTCCCTTTTTATATTCCTCCATCCTTCCAACTTAAACAAAGGACACAAGACCCAGGCTAGCTTACTATTCACAGAACAGTTTATTGACCTACCTCACCTGGCAGGCCGTGTGGCCCTTCTGGCCAGGAGAAGTGATGGTCTAGTTGCAACTCTGCTGGGTTGCAGCCTATGCCCTGGGAAGGGGGCATGAGAAACAGAACACTGGCCAGCACAGCCCTGCATACAAGAGCCTGAGCAGAGGCCCGCACTCAACTCCACTTGATGTTCTTGTCCTCCTCAGTCATGGCTGGTGTGTCAGTGACGAGGCCAGTGCCAATGGTCCGGTTGCCATCTCGCAGAGTAAAACGCTGGCCTTTTTCTAAGATCATTGGTTGCCGCAAGATTAGGCTAAGCTTCAGGTCCTCCCCGGGCATAGCAAGCTCCTAGAGGGGACAGAAACAGGGATCATGCTTGGCCTTCAAGATGTCTTTATTCCAACTGTTTTGCTGGCTACCAAAGTGACAGACTGTGGGGAAATGCAGCATGATGATGATTTCTGGGAACAGCTTCATCCCAGCTGCCAGGCAGATGCAAAGGCAAAAAAAAAAAAAAAAAAAAAAAAAAAAAAAAAAAACAGGACCACTGATCAGTATTCCTAAGGTATGTTCTTAAGGGAAAATGTTGACATTTTGGGCTATGTAGGTCTCTTAGGAACTTCTCTAAGCCCTACGTATAGTAAAACTCTCAAGAAGAAATATTCTTTTCTGAGAAGTCTCTGGGTAAATGGTAATATAACTAAGTTTTTCAACTACTTCAGCCGCCTAGGGCAGTGGTCGGCAAACTGTGGCTCGCAAGCCACATGCAGCTCTTTGGCCCCTTGAGTGTGGCTCTTCCACAAAATATCACGTGCGGGTGCGCACGTACAGTGTGATTGAAACTTCATGGCCCATGCGCAGAAGTTGGTATTTTGTGGAAGAGCCACACTCAAGGGGTCAAAGAGCTGCATGTGGCTCACGAGCTGCAGTTTGCCAACCACTGGCCTAGGGAATAGTGGATGAGGACTCACTCCTCCAAAACTCATTGGTCCAGACCCTTCCATCACTAGGTTCATCTACATCAGCGGTTCTCAACCTGTGGGTCGCGACCCCTTTGGCGGTCGAACGACCCTTTCACAGGGGTCGCCTAAGACCATCCTGCATATCAGATATTTACATTGCGATTCATAACAGTAGCAACATTACAGTTATGAAGTAGAAACGAAAATAATTTTATGGTTGGGTCACAACATGAGGAACTGTATTTAAAGGGCCAGAAGGTTGAGAACCACTGATCTACATCATCAGCCAGCTTCTCTTCACCCAAGGAAGTCACCCACATTGTCACATCTTTGGAACTGTAAGTGACACAGGCCTAATATGAAGAGCGCTCCTTCACATCCCATCCCTGTACCCACCATACCTTCCCTGGAGGCAAGATGATACGACAGGACATGTCCCAAGTCAGGGAGAACATGACAGGCATGAAGTGTGATACAAAGGGCTTATGGCGGCCACCTTCCTCTTTGGTGAGGATGTAAACCTGGAAAAGAGAGCAAGTGGCTAGAGGCACTGCCTCTCTAGGGGACAGTCCGTCTCAGTCAGCCCTGTCCTTTGCCTGAGGCCTCACCTGTGCCTCCACCTTCTGGTGGGGCTGGATGGAACCTGGTTTGGCCATAACCAGGCCACGTCTCAGGTCCTCCCGCTTCAAGCCTCGAACCAGGGCCCCAAGATTATCACCTGCCTCTGCCCGCTCCAGGCTCTTGTGGAACATCTCAATTCCTAGAGGGAGGAGAAAGGGAGGACCATCTGGAGCAGAGGGAAGGCACAGGGGTCTGCAAGGCAGGAGGTCATCCTGGAGCCAGCCCCTAGGTCTCAAGGCTTTCTTCCCATACCTGTTACCACAGTGCGAATGTTCTTGTTATGTCCCAGGAACTCACACTCATCTCCCTTCTTCAAAATTCCACGTTCTAGCGTACCTGTCACCACTGTGCCCCGGCCTGGGAGGGAACAAGAAAGGACATTAGGGACCTTGGGCAAGGCTCTCGTTAGGGGGAGAGAATGCAATGAGCAGGGTCCTCACCAGGGATAGAGTAAACTGACTCTACAGGCAGCAGGAAAGGCTTCTCTAGGTCCCGGGTGGGCACTGGGATGTGAGTGTCCACAGCATCCAGCAGCTTCTGCACAGACTTCAGGCCTAACTCAGGGTCACGTTGCTGGAAGCGGTGGGGGAGGGGTATGACAGGACTCTGAAGTTTTCATTCTGCTTACCAAGAACTACTAGTACCCCCCAGACTCAGAGCACAGCTCCGGATGCCTATCCCACCCCATCCTCTGCCACAGCAGCCCCTGCCTGACCCTGCCTTCACCTCAAGGGCACAGAGGGCAGAGCCTACGATGACCGGGGTCTCCTCCCCTTTGTAGCCAAACTCTGTGAGCAGTTCCCGAATCTCCAGCTCGACTAGCTCCACCATCTCAGAGTCCTGGACAGCATCTGCCTTGTTCACATACACCACAACATGCTCTACTCCAATCTGCAGATGGGAAAGAGGGAGATGGTGTCCTAAGTGGCCCAACTCCCCACGCTTCCTCTTCCCACTCCTACCCAGGCTCCGCATACCTGTTTGGCCAGTAGTAAGTGCTCTCGGGTCTGGGGCATGGGGCCATCATTGGCTGCCACCACCAGGATGCAGCCGTCAAGGGGGGCAGTGCCTGTGATCATATTCTGGGTAGGAGAGGAAACACAGCCTCGTTCAGTGACCTCAGCTCCACATCCATCTGGCCAAGCACAGCCGTTAGGAACCGAGGCTCACCTTTCTCTGCCATCTCACCGCCCACTTTAATCGGCCATGCCCACAAATCCATGATCTCAAACCTAGACATCGTGAGTATCTTAAGCTCCTCCCACAAGCCTAACGTTTCTCCTGACAGGAGGCAGCTCCTGGCCTGTCCCAGCAATGCTCTCACCTTAACGTAATCTGCGTGACCGGGACAGTCTGTGTGGGCATAGTGGCGGGCAGCAGTGCTATACTCCACGTGAGCTGCATTGATGGTGATACCGCGGGCTCGCTCCTCCGGGGCATTGTCAATCTCTTCGTACTTCTTAAACTTGGCCCCACCGCCCTCGGCTAAAACTAATGGCGAAGGCAAGAGAACACAGCTCTCAGCTACAGTTCCAGAGGTAGAGGCGGGGCTCAGGGCACACGCCTAGGTCCCCCCCACTTACACAACCTTAATCGGACAGCCTGGGGATGGACCCTCCCTCAACTTCTACAGAGATCACCAGTCAGAAAGAAATAAAGGCCTGAAGGTCATGCTCAGCGACTTTCTAGGGGAAAGCCTCCGCTTACAGGGCGGTCCCTATGGCTAGAGGGAGGCCATTCAGGGTCCCCCAATTTATGCACCACAAAGTTCTTCTGTTCAGGGGAAATCTGTCTCCTGAACAGAAATCTTCCAGCCCCACCCCCCGCCCCCTGGAGTTCTGGCTCCTGGGGCTACTAAACACCTCCAGCGGCCACTGTGCGGGCCCCGCCTCCCTGGCTCCAGGTCCCGCTTGCAGAGCGGGCGCTGCCGGATGCCCCCTCTGCAACCCGCTTACTTTTCGTGATGGCCGCGGTCAGTGTGGTCTTGCCGTGGTCCACATGGCCGATGGTACCCACGTTCACATGGGGCTTGTCCCGCACATAGGTCTTCTTGGCCTCCACGGCCAGGCCGCGGCACAAGAGGGTCAGTGCCGGGGCCGTCAGCGGCCGCAACAGGCCCTGCAGGAGTGGGGTCGGGCCGGCGCCGAGACCTGCCGGGGCAGAGGCGTGCAGTCAGGGCGCGGATCGGAGCTCGGCCACTCCCGACGACCCCCACGTGTCCCCGGACCCCCATGTGTCATCGCCCTCCCAGCCTCCTCACCGCTGAAGAGGGGCGTCGCGCGCAGCAAGGTGGTGACGGCCATTGTGGTCGTACTCACGCCCCGAGTACCGGTGCGAGGTACCCGATGCCCGCGCGTGCAGAGAGGGCAATTGCGACTGGAGGTTACTTCCGGCGGAAGTGAGGACCAAGAGGGCAAATCCGGGCACCTCTAGCCACCAGTTTCTATGGTCATCTCGGCCGACTTCCGGGCGCGGGCCGGAAGACGTCAAGGAAAGTAAATACTGGAGCGCGGGGGCGGGGAAGGATGGAGGTTTCCACACCCACTCGGGCCCCGCGGGAGGAGGGAGCACGCAGTTCTCTCCGACGCCGCCAGGGGGCGATGTGCGCCTCCCATGATGCACCAGCGCCCAGAGGACCTGTGGACTCCGGGGTTCCCAGAGCAGCGGGCTGTGTTTGCGCTTAGGGGAGGAGGTAGGTACGGGGAGGCCGGGTGGGGAGGGAGGCTCCCGGCCTCCGCCAGGCAGAGGCGGCCTCGGCGAGGACTGCTTGGGAACGTCCACGACTCGAACCCCTGGAGTCCGACCCACTGCGCGGGTCTGTTGAGCGGGAGGTAGGACGAGGCCCTGCCGCCGGGCTGAGGAAGAGGGTCCTGGGCGCCTTTCGGGGGTGGGGCTCAGGTAAGACCCATCTCAGTGCTGAGCCTTTGTTTTTTTATCTGTAAAATGGGATTACAGTAGTAACATCTACCGCATAGAGAGACCCTGCTCTGGGAATGAATGAGCTGGAGAAGAAGCAGGAGTGAGGTCCTGAGGCCTCCTGGTCGCACAGTCCTTAAACCTCAAAAACCTGCCCTCCTAGCCCACAGCCTGCGGGGACAAACGAAGCCTTGCCATCCAGCCGTCACACTTCAGCAGTCCAAGAAATAATTTCCTGTGGATTGCCTCACCCACCCACCCAGTTTTACTGATGACACCGAGGGTGAGGGACCAGCCTCAGGTACCATTAAGAGCAGCTTGAGTCCTAACCGGTTTGGCTCAGTGGATAGAGCAGCGACCCGGGGACTGAAGAGTCCTGGGTTCGATTCCGGTCAAGGGCATGTACCTTGGTTGCGGGCACATCCCCAGTAGGGGGTGTGCTGGAGGCAGCTGATCGATGTTTCTCTCCCATCAATGTTTCTAACTCTCTATCCCTCTCACTTCCTCTCTGTAAAAAATCAATAAAAAATATATATATATTTTTTAAAAAAGAGCAGCTTGAGCCCAGCTGGCCTGGTGGAATGGTTGAGCATTGACCTATGAACCAGGTGTGGACGAAAGGGACCACGTGCTAACCTGACAAGCTCAGGGAAGGCCTGCATGACGATCTTGCAAACTCAGAGACCTAAAGTAACCACAAAGGATGGTCTGAAATTAAACAGTTATGGTGGATGGTTACATCCTAGGCTGATATCTTCACTGACAAGGTCAACCTTTACCTTAACTGAGCCCATCTGTCTTTTTGCATCTATAATAGCATACCCTTGAAGTGTCTGGGTAACTTGTAACTTCCCTTTTTCCAGACCCCCTCAGGGCACAACCAGGATATCACGAATTCCTTCGTTGTTATCATGTTAATTGTTCCTGCACCCACCTAAGTATGTGTTTATCATTTTACTTTTTATCCAATCCCAGGGGTTTCCCCGCTTTGCTTTTTCCTGCCTCTCTAGTCTATCACCATTGGATTTCATATAACCCACCTACATCCCTTCCTTTGAATTGCGTCTATATATATAAAAGCCTGAGCGACCAGCCAACCACCTGGTAGCTATGATGCGCACTGACCACCAGGGGCAGATGCTCAACTCAGGAACGGAAACCACAGGCATGGAAGCATGGAACAGGCTGATGAATCTCAGAGGGGAGCGGGAGAGGGGAGGGCGGGAAGAGATTAACCAAAGATTTTTTTTTAAATATATTTTTATTGATTTCAGAGAGGAAGGGAGAAATAGAAACATCAATGATGAGAGAGAATCATTGATCGGCTGCCTCCTGCACGCCCCCTGCTGGGGATCAAACCCACAACCCGGGCATGTGCCTTTGACTGGAATCGAACCTGGGACCCTTCAGTCTGCAGGCTGATGCTCTACCCACTGAGCCAAACCAGCTAGGGCTAACCAAAGATCTTACATGCATACTAGAGGCCTGGTGCATGGATTCATGCACCGGTGGGGTTCCTCAGCCTGGCCTGTGCCCTCTCGCAATCTGGGACCCCTCGGGGGATATCAGAGAGCCGGTTTCAGCCCAATCCCTGCAGGCGGGGCCAAAGGACCCCCACCAGGGCACAAATCCATGCACCGGGCCTCTAGTGTATAAATATAGATGTAACCCACCATTCTCTGGAGCATTATCTCAATCCATTGAGGTTCTGCTTCCCAGCAATTGTCTACAGTTTGGCTCAAATAAACTCACAAAAATTCTTTACAGGTTTGAATGTTTTTATGTTAACACAGGTAACAGTTGGACTCCCAGTGGGGGCTTATTTCCTGTAGGGGCACATGCTGGGTTGCAGGCTCTATCCCCAGTGTGGGGTGTTCGGGGGTCTAGCCGATCAGTGATACTCTCTCATCACTGATATTTCTATCTTGCTCTCCCTTCCTCTCTGAAATCAATAAAAATACATTAAAAAAAAGAGAGAGAGAGCAGCTTAGTCTTTCTTATTCCCTCTTGTCCCCAGCAGCTAACACAGGGTGGGGCACCCAGTGAGTGCTCAGTAGATGTCTGTTAACTGAATGAATGAGTTCAAGGAGAGTATATAACCTTTAACTTTCACATCCCTCATCTCATCACCCTGGAATGATAATAGCAGATGCTTATTTTTAACCCTGGTTAATGTTTCCAAAATGCATCAGATCCTAGGAGTCAATTTACTATATTTCAAAAAGATTTCCTGAATCCCCCCTCTAAATTATGTTCAGTAGGGTCTGGGCACAGAAAGGGAAACCAATTTATTTATTTTATTTTTTTATTATTATTTTTTAAAATATATTTTATTGATTTTTTACAGAGAGGAAGGGAGAGGGATAGAGAGACAGAAACATCGATGAGAGAGAAACATCAATCAGCCGCCTCCTGCACACCTCCTACTGGGGATGTGCCCGCAACCAAGGTACATGCCCCTGACCGGAATCGAACCCGGGACCCTTCAGTCCGCAGGCCGACGCTCCATCCACTGAGCCAAACCGGCTAGGGCTATTTATTTTTAAAAAAATATATTTTATTGATTTTTTTACAGAGAGGAAGGGAGAAGGAGAGGAATAGAGAGTTAGAAACATCGATGACAGAGAAACATCGATTCAGCTGCTTCCTGCACACTCCCTACTGGGGATGTGCCCACAACCAAGGAACATGCCCCTGACTGGAATCGAACCTGGGACCCTTCAGTCCGCAGGCCGATGCTCTATCCACTGAGCCAAACCGGTCAGGGCCATATTTATTTATTACACACACACACACCCTTCTCAGTATTACCCTGTGTGGTAGTGAGAGAAGTTAGCTTGAACGCAGGCAGATAGGGCAGGGGTCCAGTGTGAAACAAAGGCAAGTGGAACATAGGCAGGAACAGACACGGCAGTTTGAGCAAGCCTAATCACAAAAAACAACCATGCTGAAATAATAGAATGTTTTTGGACATAGAATGGGAGGTATGGGAAACCAAGGGAGGGCCTGCAGCAAAAAAAGTGGCTTGTAGCAAATATATACCCCTGGACTACAAGGCTCATGGGCAGCCATTATTGGGCCCCCCATCCCCATGCAGGGAGTCTAAATCTGCTTGTAATAAATTTTCCACACTTTTGCTTAAATCTCTGGTCCTTGGAGCTCATTCTTCAGCATTGAGAGAGACAACCCCTGGGGAAAAAACCTCAACTCACCGTTCTGGTTATCAGCAGGAGCTGGTATTGCCCCCATTTTACAGGTGAGAAAACAGCACCAGGGTGATTAAGGAACCCAATATAACTAAACTCCAATGTGCACTTAACTACTGCACTGTACTATATATGCATCATCCTATATAATAAAAAGGTAATATGCAAATCCACCAAACTGCAGAATGACCAGTCACTGACGTGCACTGACCACCAGGGGGCAAACGCTCACTGCAGGAGCTGCCCCCTGGTGGTCAGTACACTCCCACAGGGGGAGTGCCGCTCAGCCAGAAGCCCAGAAGCTGGGCTCATGGCTTCTCCACGGCAACACTAAGGATGTCCAATTGCCGGGGAGCAGGCCTAAGCCATCAGTTGGACATCCCCCGAGGGCTCCCAGAATGCAGACTGCGGAGAGGGCACAGGCTGGGCTGAGGGACATCCCCTCCCACCCCCCCAGTGCATGAATCCCGTGCACCGGGCCTCTAGTGTTATTGATAAAATGAGGAACTTGCTAAGACTTATGTCCTGATTCTCCAACCTCATCTGCTTAGGAAGGGGCTGGTACAGTATAAAAAGCCATTTTTTTTTTTGTTCCTTAGTCACTCCACTCCTGGAAATCTATCCTATGACACTATTTTTTTTTAAAATATATTTTATTGACCTCTCAAAGAGAGGAAGGGAGAGGGACAGAGAGTCAGAAACATCGATGAGAGAAACATCGATCAGCCGCCTCCTGCACACCCCCCACTGTGGATGTACCCGCAACCAAGGTACATGCCCCAGACCAGAATCGAACCCAGGACCCCTCAGTCCGCAGGCCGACGCTCTATCCACTGAGCCAAACCGGTCCTGGCGCCTATGACACTATTGACCACTGCTGGATTGTGAGATTTTTGGGGGATGGTAAACTTTAAAAAACAATACTTTCCTTTTTAGTGTTGCTGTATCAATTTTAATTTTTTTTAATTAGCTTAAAAAAGACTGACATAAGTAAATACTGTTAAAAATGAATCCGTTTTTGAAATAATACTTGATAGATAACATTATGGGTGATATGAATAGATGACAAATTTTGTGGAAGGTAGGGTCAGTGCTGGGGCCGTCAGCGGCCGCAACAGGAGTCAGGGACTGTAAGTGAGGCAGTTGCAACTCTGCAACCCTGACCAGGGATCAAACAACTTTTGATCCCTGAAATTCGAGGAACACAGTACTCACAAAAGTCCAAAGGGAGAAAAATTCTTATAGAGCTGTTGATGTAGCAGCCTCTGTAATAGTCAGGAGTTTTGATTTACAGGTGACAGACTTTACATTGGCTGATTTAAGTGAAAAAGGGATTTGTTTCAGGATAGTATTAGGCAGCTTATAGAATTGTGGGATGGGCTGGAGGAATAGCTCCCAGGCCATAGAACTGATCTGATAAGAAAACTGTTGCCACTGCCACCAAACACTAAATGCCGGGACTTAGACTTCTCTGCAACAGCTACTGCTGGTGGCACTGAAAACTCTGCTGCATCAAGAAAGGGACCTCTCTCCCCTCTTCCCGCCCCCCAAGCCTGGCAAATTCAAAGTCTCACATATGTATTGGAGCAGGCTCAGAGATGTATTCTTTGATGTTGGGGGCAGAACTAGTAACAGGGAATTTCCCCAGGTGCCTGTGGCCAATGTCACAGTAAAAAAAGTGGAAGGATCACAAATGTCCCGTACGTGGATATGGTAGCATGAATTTTGGCACAGCCACTGGATGAAATATTGGCGTGGGTTCAAACTGCAGAGACAAGGGTTGCCAACCACCTGTGTAAATGCTTGTGAGTCGTGCTAAATGAAGAGGAAGGCTTGCTGCTATAGAAAAACTAGAGGCCTGGTGCACGAAATTCATGCAAGGGGCGGGGCGGGGGGGGGGGCCCTCAGCCCAGCCTGCACCCTGTCCAATCTGGGACCCCTCGGGATGTCCGACTGCCAGTTTAGGCCTGATCCCAATGTAGATTCACCAAATCTATGTTGGCAATGATCCCAGGGATCAGACCTAAATTGGTAGTCGGACATCCCTCTCACAATCCAGGACCGCTGGCTCCTAACTGCTCACCTGCCTGCCTGCCTGATCGCCCCTAACTGCCCCCCTCTGCTGGCCTGGTTGCCCCTAAATGCCCCCCAACAGCCTGGTCACCCCTTATTGCCCCCCCTTGCTGGCCTGGTCGCCCCTAACTGCCCCCTGCCAGCCTGGTTGCCCCCACTCCCCCATACTGGCCTGGTTGCCCCCAACTGCCCCCCTCTGCCGGCCTGGTCGCCCCTAACTGTCCCCCCCTGTCGGCCTGGTCACCCCACACAGCTTGCTGTTGAGTCGTTTGGTCGTCCCTCACTAACCCCCCTGCTGGCCTGGTTGCCCCATGCAGCCTGCTGTTCGGTTGTCCAGTTGTTTCAGTCCTGACGGCCCCTGGCTTTTTATATATTAGGATAGCATGCATATAAGGTGGGGTGAGACAAAGGAAGTCGAAAACAGTTATGTCTTTAGGAGACTGAATTTGCTTAAGGAGAGAGATTGTTCTCTCTTTCAAACATTTTATGTGATTATAGTTAAAAAATAAAAGTTTTTTATGTAGAATCTTGAACTCTTTAAAAAGATGCTCTTGAAATCACATGGCCTTCTGCCCCGCACCCACCCCCAAGAGTCCATTCATTCTGCTATGTGGGAGACACTTTGAGTTCCTGCTAATAACCATTTTCCATCTTCCTGTAGGCAGGGCTCTGATTTTGTTCAGAATGGCCCTTCTCCTGTTCCGGGGATAAACCCTGACAGGTCTGGTCCACTCTCATGGTCCTATTCTCCTGGCCAGGCGGTTTGTTTAGGGTTGGTTGCTACTCCTATGGGGCCAATGATTAGTAAGAGGTCTGCTTATGGGGATTCCTCATTCTTAAGAAGGAAACACCGAAGAAATGGACCTTCTTCTGATTCTGAGTGGTCCTTGGTCTGGATGGGAAGCCTAGAACTCCTGTGCCCATTTTGTTCCCAGGCAATAATGCAGCCAAAATCCAGAAGAGAGCGAAGTAAAGAGGATCTTAGACGGCTGGACGCCTTGTGGTATGTAATGACAATGTTCTTGTCGTTTAACCCAGACTGTGTCAGAGTTGTCTGGTATTTGCAGCAAATCCTAACAGATTATAGTGCTTGTCCCCTGAGACATACTTCTTGGTTTCACTCATGTGAGACAGTGACTTGAGTAGGCCAGGCCTGGGCTTCCTTTATCTCCATATCCTCCGTGCCTGGCCACTGCAGTCCTCTGTGAATGTTTGCTTTGAATTAATGAGCCTTCCAAACTGAAGGGTGCCTCTGTGTGGTGCCCAGACTTAACACATCTAAAACAGGTTCTCAGTTCTCTCCCATACTCTCCTCCCACATCTAATAAGCAGCATCACCACTCACCCTTCCCCTCACTCCACACCTAACCCAGTACCCAGTCCTGCTGGTTTTTGCTCCAAAATATATCCTGAATGTGACCACGTCTTCCTAGCTCAACTGTGGACACTGTGGTTCAATATGGGATCATCTCTCATCTAGGTCACCTTATAGGTTCTCCAATGGGCCTCTCAGCTTCTACTCTTTAAAAATAATAATAATAATTTTTATTGGTTTTAGAGAGGAAGGGAGAGGGAGAGTTAGAAACATCAACGATGAGAGGGAATCATTGATTGGCTGCCTCCCACATGCCCCCCAATGGGGATCCAGCCCACAACCTAGGCATGTACCCTGAAGGGGAATTGAACCGTGACTTCCTGGTTCATAGGTGTCCACTGAGCCACGCTGGTCGGGCATCGGCTTCTACTCTTATTCTCAATACCTGTCAAATCCATCCTCCACTCAGCAGCCACATCAGTCTTTAAAATATGGGTGAAAAATTAATCCCCCTTCAATGACTCCTTATGACACTTAGTATAAAAACCAAACTCTTACTTGAAATGGATGAACTGTAGGCAGGTAAATTTTATCACAAGAAAGCTGTTATTAAAGAACCCAAACTCCTGTGGTCTACAGACCTGCATGATCTGGCCCCTGCCTACCTCTTTGACCCATCCAGTACGAGTTTCCTCTCCCTCCCTCCCAGCCACACTGAGCCTAACCGGCAAGGGCTTTGATGTTCTTCCTGTAGCTTTCCCCATGGCTTGTTCCTTCTCCTCATTCAGGTCTCACCTCTGTATCTAAAGTAATGCCAGGTCATCCTGTTATCAATTGTCCCCTTTGATTTTCGTCATTGCACCTAAATATTCAAAATTATAAAGTTTGCTTGGTTGTTGTTGTTTTTTCTGTCTCACCAGCTCATGAAATAAGAACTTATTTTTTACTTTTAAGTACAGTGCCTAACAGGTGAAGAAGTATTTGTTGAAGGAATTATGTGTTGAATCATATCAGTTGAGCATTTGTGTTGGGCTTGTTAAGTTTTTTGATGTTTTCAATAGAAAGCAAATTTTGTATTCACATTCATTTTAAAAATAAAGATGAGTCGCCCTAGCTAGTTTGGCTCAGTGGATAGAGTGTCAACCTGCAGACTGAAGGATCCCAGGTTCGATTCCAGTCAAGGGCACATGCCCAGATTGTGGGCTCGATCCCCAGTAGGGGACATGCAGGAGGCAGCTGATCAATGATTCTCATCATTAATGTTTCTATTTCTCCCTTCCTCTCTGAAATCAATAAAAAATAAAGATGAGTCACTAACTTTTGGAGCTTCTGTTATCTATAAAATGGGGATGGAGTGGCAAGGTTAAACCATATGATTTCTTAGATTTATTGTAACTCTGACTTCTAAAAGGAGGTTGTAATTGAAATGAGTACTGGGCTGGCCAGCAACTTAATGGAAAATTGAGGACCAGGACTCAGAGTCACTAAACAGACTTTTTGGAAGCTCAAGGCCATCCTTCACTTTTCTCCCTACCAGCCAGCCTGGCAGTGCTTCCTCAGAAACCTCTCTGGACATTCTCCTTGGTACAACCCCACTGCACTACCCTGGCCAGGTCAGCATCAGCTCTCCCAGACACTGCAACAGTCTCCTCTCTGCTTCCAGCCCCCAAGCCCCAGGCCCATGCTGGACCTGAATGCCCTTCCAAACACAGAACTTTGATCATACCCATATCACTCAGATGTGACTAGACTCGCAGGGGTGGGCAAACTTTTTGACTTGAGGGCCACAATGGGTTCTTAAACTGGACCGGAGGGCCGGAACAAAAGCATGGATGGAGTGTTTGTGTGAACTAATATAAATTCAAAGTAAACATCATTACAAAAAAGGGTACGGTCTTTTTTTTTTTAGTTTTAGTTTTATTCATTTCAAACCGCCCGCGGGCCGTAGTTTGCCCACGGCTGGACTAGAGACATTCTAATTGAAAACACTTAGTGAATGTCACGCAAAAGCTACTAAGTAAACGGCACTTGAGAGGTGGCCCAGGTGGTTCGGCCTCACCTGGCTTCCTGGAGGGGATCACACTTTGAAGCCTGAAACCAGAGGGAAGAAGATGGACAGCAGTGAGGGAGATGGTGTGTGTCGTTCAGAGGCAGAGCTAAAGTAAAGCCCGAGTTCTTTAGGCTGTCAAACTGCCCTGACAGAACCGAATATGACTTGGAGGGCCAGGAGGTCTAGGCCAAAGCACCAAGGCTGATTGTGACATTCAGGAAAGAAGACAAAATTCTAGAAATCCCCTTCTCTTGGGGTGAGGGAGGGTCAGGATGATCTCCAGAAGAATCCCACAAGCAACCACTTCCCTTCAGTCAGACCCTGTTTTTTTCCTTTAAAGCGCCACCTTCTGCCATGCTCAGCCCACCCCAATCTCAGATGGGTCCACGATCCAGTTTACAAATTAGCATACTCTATCCCTCCTGGTTGCAAGTGTTGGTTCAGGGTTAGTATTCCGTTTCAACCCCAACTGGCATACTAACCAAGTTCAGTTCTGGCACTAACTGCCCAAAGTTAGCATAGACACAAGTTAAGGGCTCAGTCCTTGACAAGACTGCCCCCACCTCAAATGCCAGCTGCAAGTGGAGTCCCCCAGCCACCTGCACTTCTGACCAACTGGCTACAGATATGGGAGTTCCCCATGACCACCACTCCCTGTTTGATAATTTTCTAGGACAACTCAGAATGCAGGAAAGCGCTGTGGTTCATGCTCACAGTTTCATAATCAAGGATACAAGTCAGGAACAGCCAAATGAAGAGACACATAGGGTGAGGTCTGGGAGGGTCCAAATACAGAGCATCCATCCACTCTCCCCATGGAATCAACATATCATCCTCCTGGAACATCAATGCATTCACCAACCAGGAAGAACTGGTTGGGCTTCACTGTCCAGAGTAGTTATTGGGGCTTCATTATTTAGGCATGATTAATTAAATCATTACCATGTGACTGAACACAATCTCCAGGCCCCCTCCCTGCCCTCCTTGGATGCTGAGCTGGCTCAAAATCCCAACCCTCTTATCACAACGTTGGTCTTGGTGGTGACCAGCCCCCATCCTGAAGATATTTAGGGGCTTGCCATGAGTCACCTAAGGGGTTCATGAATAACAGACACTTCTATCACTCTGGAAATACCAAGTACTTTTAATCCTCTGTGCCAGGAACATGGGACAAAGATCAGACAAATTCTTTATTATACAACAGATGTTTATTGGGTGACCCAAGCTGAGCTGATGAAATTAAACCCGACTGCATTTGTTGGAGCTGTTGGGAAAGCCAGGATCTTTTTCCGCTAGGGTTGTTACTCTGGTAAGCTTGCAGCTGCAGGCAGCCATATAGCTACCTCTGAGGGTACAACCTGCCTGAGAATGAAGATAGTCCAGAAAAAAAGCAGAACTAAGAGAAAGAGACCAAGTTCAAATGGACATTGAGCTTTTGGCTCTAAGCATGCCTGAAGTCATTCTATCTTTGATTTTTCAAATTTGTGAACCAACAAACTCCCCCTTCTTATGTTCAATCAACCTTAAATTGGAGTTTCCATTGTAGCTGAAAGCATCCTGAGAAGTACATGCCCTCTTACTGAGGAAGACATGTTTCTCACTTCCTTATCAATATCTTGGCTTAACCTGGGCCTTGGATCCCATCCTTCCCACCTTCCCCAAAACTCATTCCTTCAATCACCATCCTTTCTACTGGCTCCTTTCTCCTTAGACTTTTGACATAATTAGGTCTTCCTCGGGATATAAACCGGCAAATCTTTTCTTCCCTTTCAAACTACAGCCCACCATATCTCTTTCCTTCCTTTTGGTCAAACTGTGAGATAGTTCTCCACATCCCTCCTCCCACTTATTCACCTTCCATTTGTTCTTCAATCCTCTACCATTTGGCTTCTGCTTCCACCACGTCCCTAAAATTATTCTCACCAAGGTCACTGAGCAATGGTAGTCATTATAGAAGACAATAGCAGTATTATGGATCTCTGTTTATCATTTGTTTTTGCCTCCCCCCCCCCCCCCCCCCCCATATACACTCTATACTCCCACACTCCCTGGTCTTTGGTATGTGGTTTCTAAAAGAACTTCCAGGTGGTTTTTCTTTCTTTTCTGTTTTTGTTTTTCATTTAAGGAATGTTGGCGGCTTGGCCTTGGAATTGACATCTCCTGGGGCAACCCTTGTTCAACAGCTAAGGGATGTTGGTATATGTAAGGCCCAGTCCCTCATTTCCTGACAAATCTGAGGCATAACTTAACATCCAGAGCTCCCCCATGGTAAAGCTGCCTGAGATCACATGCTTGCTTGGTTTCCTCTCCTGCCTTCCCCGCTCCCTTACTGGTTTCTTCTTGTAGCACGTTTTAAATAAATAACTCGCACACAAATCCTCATCTCAGGGTCTGCTTCTGGGAAGAAGACATCATCTCTGCAATTTTTTTTTACTCCTCTTTCTTTGTCTCGTTCCCCGAATTAGGCTCTGGCCCTCCTCTTTCTACATATATTACTTGGACAATGTCATTCATATCCATGGTTTCAACCACTATCATGTCTGATCACCACTAAACTGCTTTGTGCAGTTCAGACCATCGATCCATCTCTGCTGAAGAGCTCCCCTTGGTTGGCCAGACACCTCCTGGACTAATACAGTAGTCACTAGCCACATGCTCTTTGTGACGGGCTGTTAAACAGACATGAGCAGAGCAAGGGCAATGGGCCAGGTGCAGGTCACCAGGGTGGAAGCCCCAGGGGCCTAACAATAGACAATCCATTAAAGGGTGGGACCCTGCTCCCCCATGACCTTTCCTCCCCTAGCATCTCTCTCACCATGGGGTTTGGACCCCTAACCTTTCCTCTTTAGAGATAATATCTATGCCTGAGTTATGTTTTAGCTCCAGGCCCAGAGAAACAACAAAACCAGCCAGGCTGATGTCAGGACCAGTTGCGCTGAATAATGACCCCCCTCTCCTGGTGCCGGCCAATCAATCAGTGGAAACCACAACCCTGAAAAGACACACCTGGAAAGCTGCTGACTATTCTATTGAGATCTTCTCCTGGGACCACCCTTAAAACCCTCAGGAAGATGCCAAAACCGGTTTGGCTCAGTGGATAGAGCGTCGGCCTGCGGACTGAAAGGTCCCAGGTTCGATTCCGGTCAAGGGCATGTACCTGGGTTGTGGGCACATCCCCAGTAGATGTGCAGGAGGCAGCTGTTTCTCTCTCATCGATGTTTCTAACTCTCTCCCTTCCTCTCTGTAAAAAATCAATAAAATACATTAAAAAAAAAAAAACCCTCAGGAAGAGGACCCAGTGTGCTCTGCTAGCCCTGCCTCCCCCCCTCCCCACCTCCCACCCCACTTCACCCCTATTAGCTTCCTCACTCCCAAGCTCCAAGGGCCCTCCCTTTACCTTCATGACTTGTTTCCTAAGCCCATTTCTAGTAATTACTTCTTCCACACTTACTTGACTTACCAAATAAATGTTATCTTGGCTCTGAATTCTTACCTAGCCAGAACCCAAGGACCAAGGTTGCTGAACCCGGGTTTGGACTCTAGTCACACTAGCCACATGCAGCTGGTGGTTACCACATTGGACAGCGCCAACATAGGACATTTCACTCTGCAGAAAGTTTTATTGGACAGCGTGGACACATTTCCAAACTTAACCTCATCACCAGCCCCTTGCTTTCCCTGCATTCCCCCACGATCCCTGTCCTAGACAGTGACGGGCCAGCTACAGAGAAGGTGAGTGTCCGGGTACCAGGGAGGAAGAAGGCGGCCACAGAACTAAACTCTTTTCCATCAATATCTTTCTCTGAACCGGGAAGATGGGTGGACAAAGATGGACGGAGCCATTAACAAAGGCTATCTGTGCGCTGATGTCCGGTTAGAGCGCAAGCCGGGGGGACCAAGGCTGGCCAGGCCACAGTGGATGTCCCCAACTGCGCCAGGCAGCCTCGGCCTTGCACCAACGTGCGTGTGTGAGTTCAGGCTTTTCCCCATCGCCACGCTCCTGGGTGTCACTTGCCTCCGTGTTCCAGGATGAGCACTGAATCCAGACCGAAAAGCTAAAGTCGGTTCTGGAAACATGGCGCCCCTCAGGGGGGAGGCATGCTCCTACTGGAGGCGCTGAGCTGCGAGGACGCAGCGTTTGGGGCCGTGGAGAGCCGGGAGCTGGGAGAAGGTGGGCACGGGCTCCCGGTACCGCTCGGCCTCTGACTCCGGTGGGTCGTCCTGAGGAAGCGGAACCCACTCCGGGGTTTTCAGCCGCTTGAGCAAGCGGTTCCCTTACTGCTCGGGGTAGTCGGGGCGGTGACTGACAGGGTCCCTGCGCTCGGTGGGAACCATCCTCCTGCACCCTCACGATCCCCAGGTTCTGTCTCCGGCCTTGATGGCTCTCCTGAGACCCGGACTGTACGTCCGCCTGCCTCGTTTCCACCGACACGGCCCAAACGGGCGTTATTCCCGGCTCTCCCCCGCCCCTGCCTTTATTCCCCGAGTCGGAGAGGGAGCCTCGTCCAACCTCTCGCCGTTTCCTCGAGGAGCCAAGGCCGCCGGTCCAGGCTCCGCCTCCTCGCGGGGCCTTACCGAGGTCACTCCCGTCTTCCCGGGACCAGCTCCTC